CGAAAAATGACATGTTCGAGTATAGTCATTTTCGATAAGAATCATTTATCAAACATGAACATTTAGCTAAATAATTCGGAGACATAATTGTTAAAAAAAATTGACATGTCATGACATAGTTGATTTTTTATCTCGGTTAGTTAGCTAGTTACCTCTCGACCTGGTTGGCCAATTGCCTATCGATCGGTTAGCTAGTTGCCTCTCGATTAGTTAGCTAGTGCCCTCTCGACTAGTTACCTCTCGATCGGTTGACTTGTTGCTTCCTAGCGATTGGCCGGTTGCTCTCGGCCAGCTGGTCGGTTGCCCTCGGCAATTAGCCAATGGCATCTTAGCTAGTTACCTCTCGGTTAGTTGGCCGATTGGCTAATTGCTCCCCCATTTACTTGTTCACTTTGGTTGCTTAAACCCTAGGTATTTTGTGCATCACACCGGTGTCCTTTAATACCCCCAAGCATAACACATTACAAGATAAGTTTGTAGGGCCTAACATTCGTCGACATAAAAATAACATGTCATTACATAGAAATTTTATGATAATGCAAATACACAACATAAATAAGCATAGAACACCAAGTAAATGACACACACACATATACACATATATGTTATGTCCAAAGGTCTAGAATGTTATAATAATAACGATTAACTAGCCTATCCCTAAAAATTTGAAGCAGATTAATGAGATTTTTAGGCTTGACAAGGTATTAGAGGATGTTCATTTAGGGTTATGAGTTACTTAGTAAACATTTAACTTCACCGCTATAGAAGGATAAATTCATTTGGACTAACTAAGCTATATAAGTTTTTAATACTCTACCTTGTTTTTTCATCCGAACCACCCCGGTTCATGTTTTAACAAAATAAACTCACTCAAATAGGCATAAAAGCATAACACGATAAAAACTAGGTTTCATATTCATAGGCAAAATAATGCGACCTACCTTAGGTAGGACGAGATGGTGGTGATGTCATATCTTCTCCATATGTAACCGACCCCTTACCCGGATATCCGTGTAAACTAACATGTTTAAGGTTTCTTAGTTTTTCTCGATTAACTAGGTGATGACTCATTATTTCGACCCCTCATCGCAGATGGTTGACGTCAACATTGTCCTTAAGACATCAAACCTTATCAATATACAAAAAGGGGCTACTAGTGATCCTACATGCAATCAAACAATGAAAGCATTACCTAAAATCAAACCATTTCAAAATAAAAATTGATCGTCATAGATTAAAGTACTTATCGGAGGAAAAACTTTCTACTTCCAGCCAACACATTTAGTTAGTTAAGCTACTGGGGTTTGATTGTGAAATCACACATATATATAGGAAGAAGAATATGGAAATAGATGCTCTATCTAGAGTATCAAACATAAATATTCAGATCACTAACCCTCTTCTTACTTCAAAAGGTGAAAAACTCTCGGACAATAGACTTAAATGTTTAAAAAATATTGATAAACTTGACACGAGGCCATAACACCCATCTTAGTTACAAATAGAAGGATGGAATTCTCACTAAAGGAGGGAGATTAGTGGTAGACAATAAAGTGCATTTGAAAACACATATATTGAGTTTTCTTCATGACACTACCCTAGGTGGCTACTCGGGCATGGCTACAACAACAAAGTGTTTTCTACTAGAATAGGTAACAAAAAGATAGATGACAATATATAAAGAATTGCTCTATATTTTAAGCAAATAAACTTGAACTAGTGGCTACTCCTAGTCTTTTGTAGTCACTTCCTATACCGGGAGCGAGTTTTCATAGACATTTCTATTAACTTTATTGAGGTGCTTCCTAAATCGAAAGACAAGATAGTGATATTTATGATGGTTGATCGTCTTAAAAAATATACCCAATTTATGAGCCTCCCTTGCCCATATATTGCCTAATTGGTAGTCCAACTACTTCTAGATAATGTGTTTAAACTACATGGCCTACCAACCTCCATCGTTAGTGAAAAATATCTTATCTTTTTGTGTACATTTTAGAAATGAGTTATTTTCCTTTTAATGAATGGAGTTACGCTATTCAACGACCTATCACCCTCAATTTGATGGTTAAACTAAAGTGTTCAACATTTGTTTGGAGACTTATCTACAATGCATGGCGAAGATACCCCCATTGAATGGTCTAAATGGCTTTTATTAACCGAATGGTGATACAATACTAATTTCTACTCGACCACTAAGTTTACCCCATTTGAGGTTTTATATGGATTTCCACCCATTTTTCTTCTACCATATTTTTCAAAAGATTCACCAATTGAGGCTATGGATTCTTACCTCACATCAAGAAAAGTCATGCTTCGAGCATCTTAAATAAAACCTCCTCGGAGCATAGAATTAGATGGTCTAGATCACTAACAAGCATCGCACGAACGTCATTTTGAAATAAGATATTGGGTTTACTTGAAATTAAAGCCATACGACCAACGTTCGATGGTTAAAAAGCGAGTTCCATAAACTTTCTGTCAAATACCATAGCCACTTTTGAGATAGAGGATAAGGTAGGAAGAGTTGCTTATCGATTGAAGTTGCCTTTCACTTCTTCGATCTACCTAGTGTACCATATGTCTTTTCTTAATAAGTCAACTTAGCTCTTATTTGGCGATCAAACAACTTCCAAAAATACAATCGAGTGCTCCTCCACAACCTCCGACTATAATTGATTAAAAAATTATTAAAACAAGGAACCAAGCTACTCGTTCGATGGTTGATCCACTAATGTGATCTATCCGCGACTAACGCCACTTAGGAGTTTGAAGAAAAGATCAACAAACGCTTTCCAAACTTCTATTTTGAGGATAAGGAAGATTCAAAGAGGATTTGAAAGGAGCATTAATATAGGAAAGGGTATTAAAAGAATAACGAGATGATATAGGAAGAGGAAGAGACAACCAAAAAGAGGGACAAAAAGATGAATAGGGTGGGAAAATGAAAGAGTACTTGGAAGATGAAGAGTTAGAAGACGTCCGGGGATAGGAAACTAATTGATTGGGGAGATCAAAGTATCTTTAATTATCTAAATAATGGATTAATGAGTGAACTGGATCGGGTTAGTGATCTCATGGGCTTATTATGTATTGGACCGAATGCAAGTTAACTCGGACTTATTATTGTTAGTAGGTTGGTTATTATTAGGTTTGTTAGCCTTAGTATATGGGTCCGAGTTAGTGTTTTATACATATCGGCAAATCTATTATTATAATGACAAATAAGAGGAATGAGAAGGATATGAAAATTCATGACAAACTTTGTCTTCTTCTCTTTCTTTTTCTTTGTTCTTCTCTTGCATTTCTTTTTCTTTTTCCATTTACTATACTAGGGGTTCACAACCCACAAAATAATAACGAGTAGATATATGTTGGCTTTTCCCAAAAAAATAATTGAAAAGCACATATGGCCGCTGTACAAGGATTTGGCCTCGTTAATACTATAGTGAAAAAGGGTATGATCTTTCTTTTTTTGAATTCCTATGGTATCTCACTTTTAAAAGTCAATACTAATTCTTCGTTGTTTGTTCGAGTTCATAAGACAAACACATTTGTTTAAGAAATTTTTTACACACACAAATACTCAAATTCGGACTATTTATTTAAGCGACTAGAATCTTTTTCGCTCGAGCCAACTTCTTGTTTGGTATGATCTTTCTTTGGTTAATGGGATTCCAATGTTAGAATATGGAGTTCCTAAGTTCTTAATGCTGGTATGAATGGCCTCCCTTACAAGACAAGCAACTGCTAATATACGCTAACATTATGAGAATCCTACTCGTTTCTTTTTTTAAAAAAAAAGTTACAACGATTTGGATCGACTCTAATTAATCAATGAATTCTACCTGTTTTTTTAACAATGATGACATAGGCTTGTTCTTCCTTTGAATTTCCATTTGCAAAAGGAGGAAGTTATCTCTAATATACACTTGCAGTAAATTATTTTGTAAACAAAGAAAATCTTTCTGTTGATCAAGGACTTAACGAAGTGGGCATCTCAAATATTTCACAGTAAAATGTTTGGTGAGATGAACGATATCTGGCAGCCACCTTCCATTTCCTTGCATCTCTCTTGCCGTTTGGTCCCATATTTCACATTCTTGCTTACTCATACTAGCTAGGCGAGTTTACAGATACCTTCACTGGCAGATGGATTGACAAATGTGTTCGCAAAACAGAAAAGTGGTACTTAATAGTAGCCGGCAACATATTTATAAGCCTTCCTTGCCAATCGAAATTATCGCACAAGAGGCGATGGCTGAGAGTTCGTTAGATCACTTTCGAAAAATTTGTACATCTATCAAGATGACATCAGATGCTTTCCTGCTGAGATCAATCTCAAAGTGGCAGACACCCCCGAGCTTCATCTTGCCAACATAAAACATGCCATCCTTTGTCTATGCTCATACGTTTTACCCACATTCCTCTCCTGTTTGGCATTACGCGAATTAATTTTTGCTGGCCATAATTTTCCCGAGAGGACCCGGAGAATAACCATTGATCTATGATCAAGATTTGCTTTTGCAAATTCTTCGGGCATATGCTGTCGGATACAGACACACCGGATATAAACAAAGCTTTTATATGTACATGCTATTCAGTAGATAGAGGGCGGAGCAACAAACAAAAGGCATAGACAAGCTCATTTAACAGACACGATCTTATTTCAACAGAGTGGAGGTAATCACTTTGTTGTTAATTAAAAATCATCGAGTTATTAATTGGGATAATTACCTCCCTGGTGTTAGCTTCATTCGATTGCACCAAATCAGGCCAAAGCTAAATTCCTGGTGCCGCCAATTTGACATATTTAGTGCCTAGATGGCTAAATTCCATCCTGGCCGCCAGTCAAGATGACCTTTCCGCAGGCAATGTTGCGTTCTAGAGGCTTGCTTTTATTTGATAATTAGAACTGCATATAAGTATAAAATGATACAAACCCAAGAAGGTTAAAAACAGCACCATGTAAGGTTTAGTTCTATATCCATTGGATCTTTTCATGATTTGCTATGAAATTCGGACCCTTGGAGAGATATTATTGGCGTCTTCAAGAGGGCCTTCTCCTGTGGAACAGTGAAAGCAACAGCGGCAGCTAAATTCAGTATCATTAATTATTTAGTCAAAACCATAATATAAACACTGTTGGAACTCTCCGTCACTAATTTCCTTAAAACAGTAAAGCCACCTCTCACTAGTCAAATCAATGGTGGGTGGAAACTCTTTTTCACAGGCGGTTGCATCGAACAGGACCTCGAAAACCGTGTCTTCCTTGCGTTCAAACACCACAAAATCTCCAATAAGCAGGCCAGGGTGCTTCACAAAATTTGCCCATTCTTCTTCAAAATATAACAATCCTTTGCAGTATTTGCCAAGTTGGATCTGCCATAACTCCTCAGAGCTATTTAGAACAGCTTTGTCCAATACCTCTCTTTTCAGCTGTCTACAGAAAGCTGGTGGCAATGGCTGTTCACATGAAAAAATATTGTCGTAAGAAAAAACACTAAGAACTAATCATATATGTGAGGGATTGACTTCGTTTGGTATTATCTTGATATGCTAGGCAAAATGAAGTTCTCGTTTAGTGAGCAAATTCTCTCCTTTTTTTTTTTTTTTTTTGATGAAATTACCGAGCAAATTCAACACTATAATAAGCAAATACTTTAGACCCATGATTTTCGAAAACTAAGCTGTATGCCATTTGCTGTCACTGTTGAGATAGATTCCAGCTGCCAGCCAACCCCATCGCCTTTAGACAAGGGTAAAAGATTGATTTGAAGGTACATCAAGCAGACGGCTTAAATGGCTGAAAAATTATTAAATCAGCGCAGATAACAGGCATTTAATCTATGCAAAGAATTCACTATAACTATTTTTCTGAGAACTTGAACATCAATATTGTCCTAACTACAATCCAACAAAGCACTAAACATATGATGGTACATTATCAAGTTAAGAAAATGTACATGTAAAATAACAAGAAATAGAAAAAATAAATAAATAAATAAAAGAAGAAGATTAGAAGGCATACTAAATTTTCATGGAAACGAGGCATCACGACCTCGAAAAATCTTACAATGGGAGTGCTGAATCTGTTTGATCCTGAATCTCTCCTGCTAGCTAGGCTAGTCATAGCAACAAACAGGAGTGCTGTTACTGCATTTATCAATAACTTATCTGATACGTTTCAGTTTCACCATCACCACAAGAAAGGTTTGGATATTAACCAAGTCCTAACAGTAACACCAGACAATGGAATGTCCCTTCAGAAATCAAAACCGGGGTACTCCACAGGCTCATCGGGGATTTGCTTGCTTCCTGCCACAGACCAGTGGCATCGGTGGGCCAAATTTGATGGACCATGCCCAGAGGAGAAGATCCTGACTAGGCATACGAAGAAATCCAAATTCCAGTAATGTAGATTTAGTCCATAACTCTTTTAAGTCTGTTTTCAAGTTGAGTAGGCAATGAAAAGCCTAATAAATAAAATATTGGGCCTTCAGGCCGATAAAAAAACCTGTAGATTTATGCCGGTTTGGCAATGAAAATAATCAAATACGACTCGTTCACTTGAGCGTAATCAATTCATTATTTTCAAAAAAGAAAGGTAGTGAAGTCTAAGCTCAAAAGAATTGTAAGGATGCTAGTATCTTCAACATTACTCATCAAACTAAGGTGGTGATGAAACTGTCTGCATCTTTTTGTGTTTTTCTTCTTTTCATTTCATACGACATGAAATTGTAACGCCTGAGCTAACCGAAGGCACATCCGTTTTCCGTTCACCCGGGTTCGATAGTTCATCAGCCGCTTGGTCAACGAGTACAACCGCCCAGCTGAGTTAATGCTTTCCTAGCCTCGAATGAATACCTTTTTTTTCCTTCAGTACAGAAAGCATATATATATATATATATATAGACACACACACACATTACATGTGATCAAATTGAACGAAAGAATTTATGTACAACCACATATATATATAATGACAAAAGGGAATACATGGTTGTACATAAATTCTTTCGTTCAATTTGATCACATGTAATATATATCGTCAAATGTGAGAATTTCTCATTTGATGAAACTGAGATAATATACTATCCATGGAAGAGTCAAGGCCCAAGAAGCCATTTCCTGGTTTTATATGTCGCATTCCCAAGATGTCAGACAAGATTATGGCATTATGGTACGTATCAATTCTTTAGGAATCAACATCTTTGAACGCAAGACAAAAAACATGGAAAGAGATTCTGGATTGCTTTAAAAATAAGGAGGAGACGTATCCACGAGAAGAGTGGACAAGTCAAACCACCTGCCGACTCACAATCCCACTCGTCAACCAGACAGAGCTGGAGTCAGATAAACTCTACTTGTATTTCTTCGGCAGCTGAACCAACACCTTGCCGATAAATAAATAAATTTCAGAAAATTGCGACGACCACAAATTTTTAATATCGCTATGGTTTATATCTGGAGTTTTTCAAAACTTCAGTTTACAGAGTCTTAATATACAAGATTAATTGTCATATATATATATATATATATATATATATACACACACACACATTACATGTGATCACATTGAACGAAAGAATTTATGTACAACCATGTATTCCCTTTTGTCATTATATATATATATGATTAGAATAAAGTGACAATCAATCTCAAATAATGAATGGTTGGTCCAAAACGTTCACCACTAAGACATGGCAATGCAGAAGTGAATATCGACTTGGTGAGTAATGGAATGATGATGACCGCACTCTGCAGAAATATAGAGTCAAAGCTGGAAGATAAAGGGAGAAAAACAGAATTGGGAAGGCTAATAATTAACTTAATTAATAACCAGGATGTTGCAAACAGTGGAAGCCATCTTCAGATCCATTCCATTAAGTTTTCAGTTCTATGGAACTGCCTGAACTGATATATGTTTTATAACGCAAACTCTACATAAAACTGAATGAGTAACACAAAAAAAATTACATACCAAGAAGCAGCAATAAGAATGAACAAATTCATCTGCTCGCGTAGAAAAGCTCTTTCTAAAGAGCAAAAAGAAACAGACCACACAAAACCATACCTTTGCATATCCATCCTGCAATGTTAGCTTCAGCATGTCCCGTCAAATAAGAGTTTGGGATTTCAACTTTGGCGTTGAGTATGAGGATATCAACCATCAAGGGTATGCAATAGGCCATGGAGGGGTCCTTGTTCCATCAAAATGTAAACGAAAACATTCATATATGCCTACCAATCTACATTTCTGAATCCTCCGGAACTGTTGATAATCCATCATCTTCGGCAAATGATGGGTTAAGAAACCTAGCAATAAATGCCCACATCTTGTAAACATCTTCGAAGTTGGTCAGAAATCCAAGTGATGCAGTAACAACTTCCACTCGGTAAAACACATTTTTACTGTCTTGTTGAGCATTCGCCATTGGCTTGCACAATTTTGTCTCTTCAAGATCAAATCCCCCACAGTGCTGTTTAGGACTGTCAACTATCCTTACATGGCTAAGGATGCCAACACCTAGGGAGATTCCATTTTTCTCAGCCAGCTTCTGAATAACTTCTGGATGAATTAGTTGTCCATTGAACTCTCTCAAATTAAAAGCTACAGCAGCACCCCTTTCATATTTGATCTTAGGGCCATATATCTGTACAAGAGACATTCCCAATCCATCTGATGAGGGAAACCGAAGTTGAAGCAGCGAGGTAACAAGCCAGTTTATGAGGTAACGAAGTCTGAGAGTAGTTTTGTTGAGACCAAGCAAGTTGACATGATCCAGATACCGGCAAATTATCTCAGGCTCTCTTCTTTCCCACTCTTCTGCGTCACCATATTCTCCATCACTGATTGACTCGTCATCACCTAGGGAAGTTAAAGAAATTTCTCCAGGCTCCAAGTGACTCATATTTTCTCTGCGGTGCTCTTCCATGCTAAAAGAAACCCTATGGCTCATGCTAGCAACTCGATCATCCTCTTCCAAACAGAAAAACCTACCTCTTTCCCTTCTTCCCAACAGTCTAAAATCCCCTTCTGTCTCTCTCCTTATTGCACTTTCTTTTGTTTCTTGGATGAAATTGGAGGCTGAGGCACCCTCAAGTGTACTAAGGCTAGAACTCTGGTTCTCATGTCTGATACCATTCGCAATAGAACTCAACTTAGAATCAGCCAACTCATCCCTGAATCTAATTTTCTCACAATTGTCTTCAACATGCCTCGAATCAGCATTTTTTTCCGTATTTCCCATGTCATATTCTGTTTCACCAAACTGTTCTTCTTCAGGGATCCCCTTCACACAGTCGAGCTCCTGAGACACTGATAATACAGCTGCATCAAAAGACAAAACAGGATCTCCATGTAGTCTGAGGTTTACCCTGGCGTCATCATAAATAGGGCTCTTGTGTATTTTTGTTGCTGGCTTCGGAGAGAATTGCTTGTTGTTGCTCTTGCCAGAAAACCAAGATGGTGGTAAAGACGAACCTGATTTTTGTTTGGTCAATTGCTCAGAACTATCAGACCCTAATGGACTCTGACCCAAATCAATCCAGTATGAATTGTCCGATGACTCATCCTCACTGAAAACTGGACTTTTCATGACCTCCCCAACTGAAACGCTCTCAGCTTCCTCAAATATGGTGCTGGCCCCATCCCTGTCTGAGCTGTTATCGTGTTCCATCTCAGTCTCAAAGACATTCATGACCTGGTTAGAAGTGAACGCACCTGAAAAGGCAGGCATTTGTAACCCCCCATGTGTTTCAGGCACTGCTTCTTCATTACCATTGATACCATCATCCTCCATTCCAGCAAAAACATCAAGACCATCTACAGAATCCCCCAAATACTGAGGAAAAACAGGAAGAATCCTCACCATTCCAGACCCAGTACGCCCACTCTCATTTTGCAAGCTTGCCATAACAGACTTCTTGATCAGAAGACATCCAAATCCTGTTGGATCAGACCCAAAGACTCTATAAAATGATGTGATAATAAAGTCTGGCCGGAAAAGGGAAAGTCCTAATGAATCCATATCCTTAGGACCTAATGACCCAGCATCCAGCAACACATGCCAATTATTTTGCTGAGCAAGTGCCATCCACTGGTAGGAATACTTGGCCCCGGTAACTCTAGACTGAACAGGAAACACAAAAAGCCCGGTCGCAGAATCCTTCTTCCTCTTCTTCTTATTTGAAATTTGCTTCCTCAGTTCCCTAGAACACAGCTTTAAGGTAGGCCACTTAAACCAGGCACTATAAATCTTAGCCCCTTTCTCCTTAGCACATTGAGCCATCCAATTCACAGACTGGCTCTCATGATCAAACATGGTCAACAGCCTCTTATTGGTTTGGAATGGATAAGACTCAGCAAGCAATTTGAATGCAGAACCTCTACTAACAGTAAAAACAAGGCCATATTCATTTTCAGGGATGTTCAAGTAATCCATAATCCTAGCCTTTATATCATGTTCTGCAGTACCCTTCTCAGCACCTCCATAAAGAGCATGATTACTCAAATTTGCAGTTATTTCATGTAAAGTAAATGCGGATGATTCCCAATACTGCTGAGTTTGAAGATAAGAAAACAGCCCAAAGCCACAGTAATCAAGACATACCTTCGAGAAAGACTCAGATAATTGCTCATACTCATCTTGTCTCAAGTGATCAATCTTCTCTGTTGATTGAAACTTTGGATACATAGTGAGAAACTTGGAAAATGCAACGTGAAGGTCAGGGATTGAGTCCTCGGTGCAAAAGATTCTCTCCGCAGCAAGAGCAGTGGCACGCAAGAATTCCTTCTGGGCATGAAGCCTAGCAAGAGATCTTGACCTCCCGATGGTTGTTTTTTCTTGACCTGGAGATGACTCAGCATCAATTTCTTGAGATTTTGCAAGAGACCCATCTTCAGATGCTGCATCAAGAGCCTCTCTAAGCTTGTTTTCTTGCAACTGCCGGAGCATATTCAAACCAGAGCCAGAGCCAGAGCCATCTCTCCTCTTGGTCTTCTTGTCCATTAATAGGGACGCACAGTGAGTTATTGGTTTCCATATTGAAAGATGCATGAATGCCTCTCTCTCTCCACAACCACCAAGTTCAAGTTCAAATGATAAGCAAGAGAGGGGATTTTGAAATCAAACTTGTAGCGGACTGACTCTGTGACATTCCAAAGTTTGGAACTTTATGACTGAAAACATTCAAAAATAACAGAAACAAAGATTCTTTTCGTTAGAAGGGAGTACACAGAACTTTTCTGGAAGACTGGTCATAAAGAAGAGGAATGATAAAGATAAATAAAACAAAGGGAAGTATTAGTAAGAGATTAGAATCAAACCTTTAACACTCTGATCAGAAAAACCGTAGCTTTAGCATCATCCTTTTAAGGGCCCATGATTTGCGGGTTCCAATTCAAATTCAAAACCACATTGAGCAGCAGCACTCAAGCATTAAAGAGAACAAAGTAAGGTACCAAAACCGAACAAAGAAACAAAACCCAGATTCAAAGACACCATCTCCAGTAACAGAATCATACATTAAAAAGGAAAAAAAAAACCAAAAAATTGGGTTGCCAACCCAAAAACCTCAACTTGACTGAAATTGCTTTTAGTACTAATAAAAAATAGTAACCCGAGAACCAGAATCCAAGAACAGAGTCACAAGAGACAAGAAATGGAGAAGAAAGGCTTCAACAACTTCTCTACCAGTATCAGGACACTCTCACCAACCACTATTCAATTTTTTCTCTTTCTCGCTTAGTTTTGCTGTGGTTCACAGGGAGGGGAAAATTTAAGGAGGAAAAAAAATTTGCAATGTATCAACTCCTCCGCATTTAGTTCTGCAGTAAATACAAACATGTATGCATTAAATGCTACGGGCCTGCCCACCATGATTACACCTCTGTAATTTTGAATTCCCATTTTAGCCCTCCTCTTAATTTTGCTTTTAGGCAACGCTTTTGTCTTTTGCTAAAGTAAAAGTTGCAGAATGTTTGAGGAAAGTTGCTGGCTCCAAGCCTCCTACATTAATCTTAATCAAAATTGAAGTTGTCCAAAAAAAGCAGTTGTGGGCATCTTTGACTTCACCTACCGATGTTTTCAAGCTATTTTTTTACTTGGTTAATTTTGTTACATGTTTATCCCGTGGGTAGTTTAGTAAATTAATATTGAACTAAACTTCTTGTGCTGTGAAGAATTTTCCTTTTCTTAGAGAAAAGAAAAGTTACCGACTTACCGCACAGATATTAACGGCCTACTGAATATTGAAGGAAAAAGGTTGTTGTTTTTTTCTTTTCTTTCTTTTTTTTTTCAGTTTTAATAGTACAGGGTATTCTTTTTGGGATAATTATTAAAAAAAAAAAAACCTTTCAAAAAAATCTTATATCCAAGAGTAACTCATTAATTTATTTTTAAATCTCTCAAACCCAAAATAATATATTTCTTACCAAAACATTCAATAGTTAATTTTTAACTTAACACTAGTTAACTATTGGGTCTTTTGGTAAGATAATTTTTATTTTTAAGTTCGAAAGATTTAAAAAATAAATTGATGGATTTTTAAGATAGAAAAATTTTTAGAGGGTTTTTTTTTAGAGTTTTTATCTAATAATAAACTCATTTCATAGTTTTCAATGAGTTTGATATTTAATTTTTTTCATGATCAAGTCAAGTTCTTTTTTATTGAATTCGAAAGGGAAAAAAAAGTTTTTGAGGTTCTTTGACTTTTAAACACTAACATACGACTACTATTTTTCTATTATACTAAAAAAGTTTCTATATTAGAGTTTTTTTCTTTTGATCGTTTATTTCATTCATTACGAGATTAATTTTACTATCTAGTAACTATAACAACCAATGCAATTTAACTAATTAATATTGATGAATGAGACTCTTGTTATTCTCTTATAATTTAATCAAATGATTATCATACAAATAAGAAAAATAAGACTATGTATAATTAAAACGTTATCATCCATAATAGAAATACATATCTTGAAAAATAATGATTTCATTTAAACTAAGGATGGTTACCAAAATACCTTCTAAAAAATTCACTATTTTATTTTTAAATCTCTCAAACACAAAATAATATTTTTAAATCTCACAAACCTAAAATAATATTTTTCTTACCAAAACGACCAATGTTAACTATTGGTGTTTTAGTAAGAAAAAATATTATTTTAGATTTGGGAGATTTAAAAATAAATTTATAGGACTTTTTGATAAAAAAAAATTTTATAAGGTTTTTCCGATAATTATCCTTTTTTTTTATCAACACCTTTGGACATGCCAATCATCTTAAAATTAGAACATTTAGAAAAGCCCTAGGCTATTGCTCATGTTACATCGTAGATGGAATAAAACATATAAAATTATTCAATAAAATTCATTTTATTTTTAATGACCTATGTTATGTTACATGTCTATTAAAATATATTAAATCAAGGGAAAAAAAATCCATCCATTTTTTAATTTTTAATCAAATTTTTGTGTTCGGTTTATTCTTTTTTGTGTTTTTTATACTTTAAAAAAAACTATGATTTGTTCTTCTTACATTGATTTTTAAATAAAAAGTTACAATAATATAAATAGAAAATTCAATCCAATTTTTTTTAAAAAATATCTGAATATTTTTTTCATAAAATTGTAAAAAAAAATATAGAAACAATTAATGTAAAAAATTATATAAAAATTAAAAAATATTTTTTTCTTATTTAATGTTGACGACAAGATTATTTTTTGAGAGTAGATGCATTTGATTCATATATATTTATTCCCAAAATAATCAATTACATTAACATAAAAAATTATATTTGAATCATTAGATGGTTCTTCTAAACATTTTATTTGAAAAAAAAATATTTTATAATATTAAAAAGCAATAATAATAGAAAAATGGTTATGTGTTATATGTATGGATGCATAATTAATTTCTAATAAAACTAATTATTCTAATTTTTTACACATCATGACAATACTTAGTAGTTTCAAAAATGTGCAACGAGAAAATGATAAAACATTAAAAAACCACTCATGTTATTAGAAATATATTCAATAAATTTGAAATTAATATAATGAAATAAAAATTACCAAAATTTTAATTTTGATAATTTTTTTTATATAACAAAAAAAACAAATAAAAAAACTACAATTCCATTTTTAATTAATTATTCTAAAAAAATCCAAAGAAATTAAGATAAATTATCTAAAATACACTTTACACCTTTTAATATAAATATACATATATCAACAATTATGCTAAAATACATAAGAGTACATAGTATAAAATATATTATATTTTTTTATAAAAATAAATAATCATGCTTTAATTGTTTTTTTTTTCAAAATCCATACACAAAGAATAATAAATCATATTTGGTAATAGATAAAACTACTTAAAAAATTAAAAATTAATTGAGAGAAATGATTTTTTGGTACCCAACATTTGATTTTTTTTTTTCCATTTTGGTGTCTTGATTTCTAATAATTTGCTACTCAAGTTTCAATTTTTTATTTTTTTTGGTGCTCGACTTCGTACGAGATTTAATTTTAATGACGAGTCCGATTAGAGCTGCCACATGACGAGTCAAACACATGCCATATGGTAATCAACTCTAGATGCAGCAGTATCTCATGCTCTAAAGTGGTCGTGGGCACTTAAAAAAGAAAAAAAATTATAATTTAGGCATTGGAATAGAAAAAAATTAAAGGTTGAGCACCAAAAAAGTAATTTTTTCAAGAAATTTATTGTCTCAAAATTACAAAATCAGTCCAACAATTTATAATGAATATTTTTCATGTCATGCTCATAGTATTTTTTTACTTAAAAAATATTTTTTTAATACTCTATATTAGCTAAAAATTATTTTTAAAAATTTTTAAACCCCTTTAGTTGTCTAGACAAATTTAATATTATGTCATTTAGCCAAATATATACAAAGTCCAATTAAGAGTAAATTTTAAAAAACAAAAGACATACAAGATCCAATCATAATTGCTATTTTGGAGAACAATTTTTGGTCGATGAAGAAATTTACAAAAAAAATAAAAAAAATTGTTGTTTCTATCTAAAGAGAAGATCAACCAGACATCTAATGGGTGACATGAGTTTTTTGTGGCCAATAACTTGCTAAATTTTTTTATAGCAAGTTGAGATGGGATAGAATTGAGAATAATAAATTTAGTGATCAATTTTTTTGGTTTGGAGGTTTAAAGTGCAATACTTTTGATAGTGTTGATGATAATGATCAAGGCAACAAATCGAGTATAAATTAAGCTAAGAAATGAATACATTGTTAAAATTGCTTATGCAATTAGCATAATAACTAGAAAATATACATGTATGTAATTACTAGTGTTCTTAGAATTTAAAATTATATCACTTTCAATATCTAAGAAAAGGTTTTGAAGACCATATATGTATAAAGATTATGAAAGCATACGATATGCACGAAATCTATTTATAATAAGGAAAGCATAGATCGGAGAGCAATAAGGGGATAGATATTTTGTATGAAAAAACTGAAATAAATTTTTTAAGAAAACTATATTTTCGGTGTCCAATCTTTGATTTTATTTTATTTTTTTATTTAGGTGCCCAACCTTTAATTTTTTTTTATTCCAATGTTTAAACTTTGATTTTATTTTTTTCTATTTGGGTGCCCACAACCACTTTAGATGATGAGGTGTTAACATGTCTAGAGTTGACTACTATGTGGTATTTTTTGACTGTCACGTTGCAACTCTCACCGGATATGTTAGCAAAATTGAACTCGGGTAAGTCGAACACCAAAACAAATAAAAAATCAAAGTTTGGGCGGCAAATCGTTAGAAATCCATGGTTGGGTACCAAAACAGGAAAAAAAAAATCAAAGGTTGCGCACAAAAAACTCCTTTTCTCAAAATTAATTGGATGAAAATTTATATAGAAAATAATAAATTAAAAAAAATCAATTTTAAAATTAAAAATAATATAATTTGACAAATATATATTCATTCTTAAATCTAACATCATATCATAC